TGCCGGGGTGCAAAGATCCACCCAGCGCGCCCCCCCCCCCAGGTTGCCCAGTCCCAGGCGTGCAGGAGGGCAGAGCTGGCCAGCCGCCTCAGCATCTTGCTGGCTCAGTCAGCCCTGAACTCACAGCGCAGAGCCGCTTGCAGCAACCAACGGGCGGGCTTTCCCCCGGACTCAGCTCTCGGGCCCCGGACTCTCAGCCTGGTGCCCCTGAGAACCCAGCGCCCAGGTGCCTGCACCCCTAGTGCCTATGAGTAAGACAGCCCTGCCCAAATGTTGGTATGGACATACAGGCTGCGGGAGAGGAGTTGGAGACCATTTTGCTCTTCCTTGGTCCTTTTTATGGCTGCACCGCACTAAGCTATACACCAAGGTTTGGCTTAGCATTTTGTCCAAACCAGGACTCCTGCTTAAGCCCCCTCCTCAGCACTAGCCCAAGTTTTGCCAGAATGAAATGCTTCCCCTGATGTTGACACTGGGTCAAGCATTGCATTTGGGGTAACCCATCGTGGCTGGGGGTTGCCATGGATCCTACTGACAACCCCCATATAAAAGTGTTGCTTCCATCGCTCACCCACCAGGGGGGTGGAAGGAGTTGTGAGTGACTGGCAACAGCCACTGTTCTGTGTCGTAGCTCGGGGTGTGGGCAGAAACACCGAAGAGTGGTTCAGATGGATCAGCAATGGGCCCTTTTGATCTCCTTGACCCTCATCAGGTGCCCAGCCATCAACATGAGAGGTCCGGCTAGAGCTTCTGAGTATTAGCTTTCTTCAGGTACGGAATCTGCACTCCCCTCCCTTCCTTTTGAAATGGTGCCATCTTGAGCAAGAAATATCAGCACCATAGATGGCGTGTGAGGCCTGTACGGCTGTGGAGTAACATTCCAAGCTGCCTGACACCTGAACTGGAACCAAGTACAACACTGGCTGACCAGAAAGAAAACAGTCGTGCAGCTAGACCACACTTCGGAACAGAAATGTTGTTGCCTAGTCAAAATGAAGAAAAGACCTTGAATAACACTATGATGCCCAAGGCGTGCCTAGGCCTGGCATCATTATGGCGGTATGACTCTCTCCCTCTCTCTCTCCCTCTCTCTCTCTCTCTCTCTCTCCCCCTCCAATTGGGGGAAAGTCTCCCTTTTCTGGGCACTAGGCAAACCGCTGTCAGTTTGGAGCTTGGCTTAGCAATGCCAGTGTGTACAAGTCTGTGACTACAGAATCTGGCATCCATTATGGCTCATTTCAGGGTCCTTCAATGTTGATTGTTCACTCACTTTGGGGCTTAATTATTGTTGATGCCTTAAGTGGCATCCTGTTAGTAAAAAGAGAGGCAGTGGGTAGGGCAGCCATTTCAAAGCTGGAAGAGCTTAACTTGAGAAATCTGAAATGAAGAATCTTAAGTCAAAACTGGAATGGAGCTTGATGGCTTCCACCTTTTGAACATTATTGGAAACAGTTGGCGCCAAGATGGAGATGTAATCTAATACAACCCACTCCCACTGAATTGAAACAACTCCTTCAACAGAAAACTAGCACGAATGAAATGTGTTCCTAGTGTCATTCTCAAAAAGGGGAGAGCTGACTGTTTTTCTTCCTTTAGTGCTGCTCTAGTTCTGTGTAGGCCAGGGGCTGCCAGCAAACATTTGTATACCTGAGGAGAAGCTGCAATGGGCATCACACACACACTGCAGCCTGTTCTATTGGCTACAGTAGAATGGATAGTGGATGCACAAGCAAAGGCCTTGAGACCAGTGAAGCCATTCGTGAAGGAGCAGCACTGCACAAGATCTCCTCCTGTCCATATTTTTGAGCCTTATTGAACTGTATGTTAAAAGAGTGTTTAAAAAGCCCATAGCTCTTCTCCCAAATTGGGGTGGGTGGGTGGCCCCTGGGAGGGGGGGGCACAGATCAGTGCCACAGGTGGGACCATGATGAACAGCCCTAGCACTGTCTGCCAGTACCTGCCATTCCATAGACTTGAATGGGGCACGGAAAACGCAATGTGTGAAAGGCTGCATAGAATTTCACCAATCCAGTGCAAACATGCTCCTTGACAAGCCTAAATAAAATGCATTGGTAGTTTCTGCAAAAGAAAAAGGAGCAATGCAGTATGTCTGCATACAAGCTGGAGGGGGGAAAAGGGTCAGAAGTGTCAATTTCAGTGCTTTTAATGCTCTACCTGTGGTATTATGTATCGGATTAGTTTGATGGTTGGCTCATTAGGTGTAGCATGTATGCCAAGTTTCAAGGTATTAAACTCAGCAGGTTCCACTTTTATAAGCCATCAATTTTTGAAGCTTAGAATAATGAGGCTTCTCTTTACTATTCATCTTAACTATAGAGCCACTCCTGTGCCCCTATAACATGGAATGCGCTTGCAGTGACATCATAGACTTTTTTTAAAAACAAACAAACATAGAATTGTGTGCTTGGCTCCTGACCCATATAGCATGAGTTTATCCCTTACCATGATCTGAAAACCTCTCCCTAATATGAAAACCTCTGCTAATGCTACTGCTACAATCCTAACCACACTTACTTGGGAGTCAGAGCCATTGAATTCAAGTGGGCTTAACCTCTGAGTAGCTATGGCTAGGGTTGCTCTGTGATATGGAAAGCTACTGGTTCCACAGCTGCCTTCTGCAGCACAGTTCAGCCAAGGGGGATTCCTGGGCCAAATTTGGCCCCGGGGAGAAGTCCTGTCTGGTTTTCTAGCTGCCAACCTGGGCTGAAAGGGAGGTGTGGAGACAACCAGCAGTTGTGGCGATGGAATATGATAACAGCATTCCTCACCCCATTCTCCACCTGACACTTCAAGTATAGTGGTACCTCGGGTTAAGTACTTAATTCGTTCCGCAGGTCCGTTCTTAACCTGAAACTGTTCTTAACCTGAGGTACCACTTTAGCTAATGGGGCCTCCTGCTGCTGCTGCGCCGCCGGAGCCCGATTTCTGTTCTCATCCCGAAGCAAAGTTCTTAACCCAAGGTACTATTTCTGGGTTAGCGGAGTCTGTAACCTGAAGTGTATGTAACCTGAAGCGTATGTAACCCAAGGTACCATTGTAAACTAGTTGCTGAATTTAAATGTTGAAACCTTGAAGAAACTAGCTGAAAGATCTTCCTAAAAACCTTACGCCTATTTCACACTAGGATGGTAAACCTGTTTCTGGCTGCACCTTCAAGTAGGCAGGGCTAGATTAAGCCATAGGTGAATACCTGGGAAGCAGGGGTGGGGGCAAGCTTGGGCCTGCCTGTCGCAAGCTTTCTACTCAGCAGCTGAAACAAATAGTACAAACAGTTCCTTCTTCACATTTTGTTTTGATGCATGGGAAAAGTTAAGATTCTAGACTCCATTTTTCAATGGTGTGCATTTGAAGAGATTGTGAATGGATGCGATCTGATTCACTGAGGAAAATTGGATGATGGGGGTCAGTCATGTACAAGTGGGTTCTAAATGCAATGAAAATAAAAAAAATGAACAAATGGGGTGTCAATTGTGTGACTTGCCTGGGGCACTATTTGGCTTAGAGCTAGACGTGCTCCTTGGTGCTAGCATTCGTGGATGTGTCTGTCTGAGGGCTTCCTCTACAGCAGTGTTTCCCAACCTTGGGCCTCCAGCTGTTTTGGACTACAACTCCCATCATCCCTAGCTAGCAAGACCAGTGGTCAGGGATGATGGGAATTGTAGTTCAAAAACAGCTGGAGGCCCAAGATTGGGAAACACTGCTCTACAGAACCCTTAAAATAAATTTACTTTACTCTTAACAACCTGCAGGATATACAGTGGAACCCCAGAAGCCGAACGCCTGTAAGCTCGAACGTTTTAGCTCCCCGAACGATTGGAAACCAGAAGTGATTGTACCAGTTTTCGAATGATTTTTAGAAACCCAATGTCCGGCATGGCTCCTGCTGCTTCCGATTGGCTGCAGGATACTCCTGCAGCCAATTGGAAGCTTTGCCTTGGAAGTCAAGCGTTTTGGAAGTCAAACGGACTTCCAGAACAGATTCCGTTGGACTTCCAAGGTACGTCTGTAATGCTATTTATGCATCTTGATTCTGACTGAAATATTTGCATGTACACACAGAGGATTTCTGAGAAATGCAGATTTCTTAGTTTGAGAACAAAGCATGGCTTTACCACTAGCTAAAAATAAAGGTAAAAGGACCCCTGACCATTAGGTCCAGTCGGCCACTCTGGGGTTGCGGCGCTCATCTCGCTTTATTGGCCGAGGAGCCGGCGTACAGCTTCCGGGTCATGTGGCCAGCATGACTAAGCCACTTCTGGCGAACCAGAGCAGCACATGGAAACCGTTTACCTTCCCGCCGGAGCGGTACCTATTTATCTACTTGCACTTTGACGTGCTTTCGAACTGCTAGGTTGGCAGGAGCAGGGACCGAGCAACGGGAGCTCACCCCGTCACGGGGATTTGAACCGCCGACCTTCTGATCTGCAAGTCCTAGGCTGTGTGGTTTAACCCACAGCGCCACCCACGTCCCAACATTAGGTTACAAAGCATATAAACTCAAGGCCTTTGCAGATGACCATGTGGTAACTGTAGAAGACCCCATGGCTAGCCAACCAAGGGTCTTGAACAGATTCTCAAGTTGGAGAAGTAGCAGGTTTTAAACTAAATAAAGGTAGAACGAAAGTATTGGTGGAAAATGTGACAGAACTGATGATTGAGAAGAAAGTTTAATATTTAGGAGTATGGATAACAGCTACAAACATAAATATTTTAAGAATAACTATACAGGAGCTTGGAAAGAAATGAAAAAAACTTAAATAAAAATATATAAAAAAGAGATATCTGGAGGGTGGCAGCACGACAACAGGACTTTTCTGTGGTGGCTCCTCGCTTGGGGGATGTTCTCCCAGAGAGGCTCCCTGGACACCTTTGTGACAAATCTTTAGGTGCCAGGCGAGAAAGTTATTCTGTAACCAGGATTTGGGTGGATTAA